CGGAAGATGACCAACTCGAGCCAGATCTGCGAGTGGAATATGCGCGCTCCAAATGGAGCGCTTTTGGAGCGCTCGAGATCTGCGAGCGGAATTCACCATAAAACAGCCGCCGCACCGCCGATGTTGCTATGACGTGGCCGAACGCTGCGCGTACACGACAGCGTCAGAGACGGTTGCCAAGGTTACGACGCACGGCGCTGCGATGCGAAGCGGTTTTTTTACTGACATCGTTCATGCTTAATTAATTAGCTATGCCACCGTCCTACTGACAAGGTTCAGTTAGTGTGCATGTTGCTATTTAGCAGCGCCTATTTTATTAGGTCGTATACAGGTATTGATCGTAATGTTTTTAGAGCGAATAACGGTCCTAAATACTGAAGTTTCTTGGACCCAAAAAACTACAATTCATGTTTACGGGAGCTTGAATAGATCAGTAATGATAGTACTTTGGTGCAAAATATATATGCCTGGAATATCGCCCAGGAATAGAAAAATAATAATAAATTAACGATTTAGTCAAATATGTACGGTTAAGGCGTCAAACGCATTACATTGTTAAAACACCAGTAAAAAAACAAAACAAAAAAAACAGACGTGTGTGTTTTGTTTTATTTCTAAACTGAATGGAGGAGAAAACCCCGAGTGCGGTGTATTTCTCGTTTCCAAAATATTGGTTGTTGAAGCTGCCGGACTGTAAACGATGTTTCGCCCAAACATCGGAGGAAATATCAAACACTCTACGGTGCAACACATCCTCTGCAAACAAAATTCAATGGCCTTGAAGCTTGCAACTTTTGCGTAGATAGAACGGCTGGACAATCGCTTGCTAATGAATGCGCTTGCTGCGGCAAAATGACCAGTCTGGAAGGTGCTTTACGATAGGTGTAGAGAACACAAATTAGCGGTGAGGTCATCTCCTTCTAGACACTTGGCCTTTTATTGCAAACAATAGGGGTGTGTTTCCCAGTTTGCTGTCACACAAGTCATGACACAGCACGGCAATCAACGAAGAAGATACATTTCTCAGACGTTCTCAATTTCGACCAGTGAGGGGGCAGGTTCATCATTCATTGCATTGTATGAAACCTTGATATTGCATCTTAGTCCGTGTGAAGTGATTGGTTCATTAAATTGAAGTAGGTGTTTGTTGCTGTTTTCGCGGCTTCGAGTGTTTTCCTATCGGATGCTGTTGTAATTCAGCGCCTGGTGTGTACAGTCGCGGACTATATAAAAGAAGCAGACAGACCGCGTGGCTCTGAGGATATTCAGTGCCATCTAACAGAATAAAGCTGAGTCGTCATTAAGGTTATTATGTGCCCGAACGTCATTATAGCGGCGGTTCGATTGTTGATGTTATTTCCCACTCGGTGGCAAAGGATTCCTGAGTAAAACTCTTCGCGTCTTTTATTTCGGAAGCTTATTGCCAAATGCCGGAAAAGTGATCGCCCAACCGGATGACGCGGTGGTTTTAGCAGCGCTTGATTTCGGCTTTGGTCGCGAAATGATTTTACAGTGAGCGCAGAAATCAACAATCGGGACTTCTAGCCAGACTTGTGCCTGTCTTAAATACCCTAATGAAGATACCGTATTTCAAGTACTTTTGGTAGTATTTTGGTATCTTGCAACTACATTTCGCCTAAAGTATTTACTGACATGGTAACCCTGGAGCCGGGGAAAAGAAGGCTCGTTGGTGACGTCGATGGTCGACAGCGGCTTCCGGCGCTGCGTCACTCCCCGTGGAAGGGGTAGCGTGCTCAGGAAGACTGCATGAGCGCCGACGAAATTGACAGCAAGGTCTTGGTTTCCTGGAGAGTGAACAACACTTGTTTCGGCGAAGCGTGAACTGGCTGTCGCTGCTGCTGAATAATTCTAATTTTTAGAGATTCAATTACCTTCGTCGTTAAAGAAAAGGAGAATCCTCGGACAAGGAATCTTATTCCAGCATTGACGCCCCCACATAAAATAGAAACACATCCTCTCAATGCTCAGTGGCTCCCGGCGCAATGAACATTCAGTGCGGCGTCGTTGTATGGAATTGAGGCCTCCACTAATGTTCTAAAGTTGGTATAAACTCTGCGAGTCTCGAGCAACTGCCGTAATTAAAGGGTAACTGCCAAGAAAAATAAAGTTTTTTTTTTGTTTTTTTTAGACAGCCTAATTGGGAGAATCATGTCACAAAACAAACCTTCCGCAAAAAAGGAAATCTATTTTTTAGCAATATTTACGCCACAGGAAGTAATTCAGTCGGAGTCCGAACCTCTCCATATTTGCAACTCCCGCTCTTTCGACCCGTGCGGAGAAGTGCCCTCGCTCTGGGATTTGCTTCGTTGTTTTTTTGGTCGGAAAAAATGGGGCAACAACGCACGTTCAACATGGCGTCGGTATTGTTTTGGTTTGACGGGACGCGAGAAGCCCCGCGGTTCGCGAGCCCATGTAACGAAGATGTGACCGGAGAAGCGCTCCTGTGATGTTCGCGGAAGACGGAAGGTATCATTCGTAATCGTTGTACGTACTTTGAAAGCGAAGAGAGTAACAGGGTCCACGAGTGCGCAACCACAAGCCAACTTTAACGATAGCGCTGTGTTGACTTCGGCGATCTCGTTCTGTTTGGTGCAACACGGCGATGCGACAAAGAACTGAAACGTTTGTGGTGTGTCGGGGGGGGGGGGGGGGGGGGGGGGTTGGAAGTAGAAACCCACGCCAACACGGAGCCCAAATTGGTTGTTGTGGGGTTGAGGTTCAACGGGTTCAGTCCCGACATCGTCAACTGATTCGGTCCAGCTGGACCAAGACGGAGCGAGCGTCTTTAAAAGTAAATCTTCCTTCGTTCCGCTTCAAAATTGGGAAGATTCCCGAAGCATATTGGGAGTAAAAATCTGCTGGAGTTTTCGACAAATTTACGTTGTTTTAATTGAACAATGAACTCCAAATTGTTTTCCTGAATCTGCCGTTTTTATGCTTCCTGTTGATGGACTGCGTTTGCACAGCGACGGACACCGCCCGACTGGATGATTCGGTCCTGCAAAAGACCTCCTATACAGAATATCAGGGAAACATAAGTCACCACCGATATTTTCCTGTAAATCGCGTGCGAGTTTGTTGCGCTCTTTGTGTGGTGTGAATAAATTAGGCAAGATTTCCTACCTGCCCGCAGATGCATAAATTAAAACCATTTTATTACTTAGTAAACATATGCCTTTTCTTTATTTTTGGGAAAATGCGTTGGTTCATTTATTATGGTACAATCAGTCAAGAGTTTAGAAATTGGGGAAGGCAAGCAAGCTTTCCCAAATTTGTCGTTTTTCTTTGGCACTGCCCCTAGTTTCAAGTTGCAGTTTCAGTAGACATACCTACTAGCAGGTACAAACTGTTCTAAAGCAGGTAAAAGACTGGGAAGTCAGGATGGTCCGAACTCCGTGTTTCGCGCTTTTCGCAAAGTGGCTGAGGAAGTGCTTTAGCAATGTGTGGTCGTTTGCGTCTATCAAGCAAAACAAATAAGGAGATATACAAAGGCGCAATCACAACGAAGATTTACAATTCAATTCAAACAACTTTACGAAAGATTCGGAAGCCGAGACAAATCTGTCGACTAACGCAGAACTCGGACTTCCGAAAGTTTTTGCAAACAGCTGTTATGTAATAACCTGGCTGTGCCAGGTTTTTTACGTAACAGCTGTGTCTCGGTCGCGGACGTTCGGTGTTCCCGGTGCGAATTTCGAAGGCCTCTGGAGCGAAATGACGAGAACCTACTTGGACACATTTGTCGCTACGCGAACGCCCGATTGCGTCCAGCCAAATAGCATTCACTTTTCGGGGCGACAAGGCTGCTGGAAGGCTCGCTGTCAATATCACTCATCTGGCAGCACTTTAGAGAGCGACGGTGCCGCTTTACACGAGCTGACATCTCCAAAAAATTGGCACTTGCACGCTCAAGCAAAAAAAAGAAAAGAAAGCATGCTAAGAAAGCAAAGGGGGAAACGAAAGTAACAAACCGTGCTATGAAAGCCAAGACCCCGCGTCGATTCCTATCACTAACACCTGAGACAACTGCTAAACACACACTACTTCACTTCAGGAAGTCTCAGTCAAGCACCTGGGTCAGCACGAAACACTGATCCCCTTTGGCGAAACGATTAGTCGAGGTAGGCGAGACAGGCAGGAGCAGAGACTTCGGCGGCCATGAAAGAATGGCGAAGCTTTTGTTTCTTATGGTATGAAGCCAAACGGAAGTGCCCGTCTTGTAAACCCTTTGTAAAAAAAAAAATATTAAGTCTCATTACATCGGTTATTCTTTAAACGTAAAAAATATGCTGCTCGAAAGGAAGTTAAACATATCACAACGGTTTAACAACCAAGATCTAAGCTGTCAACCAATCTTTAGCCAATGAGGAGACTTACTATAGGACGTCGCTCCGCGACGTACAGCAGTCAGTCCGTGACGTATAGCAGCCACTTTTTGACGTATATTACCCACTTTGTGGCGCGCGATTTAAAACGGATGAAATAGCCGCAAACCAAAGCCAGTGCCGCGCAATAAAGATTGCTGTATTTTTTTTTCGTGAAAAAATTGTTTTGAGACATACTTGTCCCAGGTAGGCTGTTCAATTTGTTTTTAAGATATTTTTTGAGTGCTCCAGTTGAGTGTATGGTTATTAAGAGAGTTATGTCTGTTTGAGAGATTGGAGCAGATGGTGGCCAAAGCAACTTTTAGCTCCACTCTCTTAGGCAGAGAGTCGGTGAGATGGGAATAGTCTTCACTTCAACCTGTCTTGTACTTCGAGAAAGATAGGCTTCACGACGTTAGTAGAATCAAGCGATCACCGGCGTTTAGTGCTCATCTTTAAGAATGGAGAGATTGACATTCAAGCTGAGTACTTTTGTTGGCAAGGACTCACTCCAAACCAGTCTCTTTTTAACTATACGTAAAAAGAAAAGTGAACTTGGTGTGTTCGCGCTACCAAAAGCTCCCAGAAATCACTGGGTGTCGTCTTCTCTCCCTCATGGCACCAGTGTACCACGACCTGCTGGTGTTCCCGCTCCACAACCAGATGCTGGCGGTAATTCTGGGCTGCTGCTTCGGCTTCGTCACCATGACAGCCGTAAAGCTGATCCCATTCGGCAGCGACTCGGCCATTGTGGTATTGATCTGTGCCACCTACTTCACTTACTACTTTCTGGACTCCATTGAAAGTTCGGGCGTCACGGGCGTCATCGTATTCACCATGGTGGTCACCACCAACAAGATGATCTCTTGCACTGAACTGGAGAACACCTTCGAAGAGTGAGTGTTAAGAAATTCAACGCTCGACTAGACTCCGTTTGACGCCAAGTCAGTCAGAGTGCAGGCGACAACACAATCTGGGGTAGCCAATAAATCTTCCGAAATGAGCATCGACCTAAAACGAAGGGTCTCTGCGCATGCGCAGCGAGCGATTGCATTAGCAGGTGGTAGCAAACACACAAGGACGACCAGCGCCATGTTGACATCTTTAGCTGATTGATTTGCTCCATCGAATCCTCGTTGGCTGCTCTCGGACTTGGTGTGAAACGGAGTATAGATGCTTGGAATCCTCGAAAATAGAATGGTCAATGGACGTCAGTGCTCATAAAAACAGACGTTGGCAATAAAAAAAAAATGTTTTTTTTAATAATATTAGTATCTTTCTTTCACCTTATAATTCTCATTCTGAAACACGTGATTCGCCCATCCAATGCGGGTCGTATCAGCGGATCATTCAACACCGATTACGTTTTGGCCGGTGCAGTAGGAACGCCTCTTTTTTTTTTCTCTACGAAGAAACAGTTAGCGGCATTAACCAGTTGTGTCGTAATGACTCCTACGAACCAATGCATTTTATTTATTTAAGTTTTCATGTATGTCTTAAAGTAATTTTGTTTTTCACCACGGCACAACCGCATAAAATTATAGATCTACGGACGATATGGAAAAGATCAAGCGAGTGCGTGTCTCCGAAGACTTCCATTCCTATGGGACGAAAGCTTTGTTATTATTGAGGCTATGCCATGTCAACGGGCAGCATTTCGGCGGGTGTTCGATTTTTGTCGTTACTCGTCACTTGGTCGGGAAAAAATGCTGTCAAAACCGTAGTAGATTTAGAAAGAGTTTTATACGTAAAGACAGGGGACGGGACAACATATCTTTCAACTTTCAACAGACAAAAACAACCGATAGTAGTAGTAGTCGGTGAAATATTATATATAAACCGTTTGTCGTCATTTATTAAGCACACCGATTATCAGACGCCCGAAAACTAAACACTCAACCTGCTGAGCCACGTGATTCAGTAACGTTTGTTTTTGACTTAGGCCGCAATAGGGCTGAATTAATTTTGCGAAATCGGCATTAACTCAGCTAGAGAAAACAAGAACGAAGAGGTGGGACCACTGGAGTGCTACTTCTGACGCTCCACAAGTGGAGCGAATTATTGGAGGGCGCTACAAGCGAAGTGGCTTGTATTCGCATAAACCGGTAGTAAATGAGCGCTATAATATAAGCTCTTGCCCAAACGAGCAGATAATTTTTAAAACAAAATGTATTTTATCAGCCGTTTTGTTTTGTGAAGGAAAACTTTGCGTACCAACGTTGCGCTCCACCGGCACAAAGGTCAAAGTCATAAAAACAAGAGAGGCCCCGGCTATATTTTCAATACAACCTCGACGTCAGGCGTCGGGTACGTACATGACATCACCGCTACCTGACGTGTCGTCACAACGCCATGCGACATCGCGACGAGGCCTTGCCGTCAATGTCGTCGTCGGCGTTAGCAACGCGCGCAACACGGCATCAAGACTGCCTTTTGACGTCATATCACGTTGACAACGCCGTCAATGTCAACGTTGACGTTGACGACGACGACATCACGCGACGTCCAGAGGACGACGGTCTTGTCGTCGACGAGGCGTGATAAAAACACTTGGCGTCAGGTCGCCGACGTCGTTGTCGACATAACGGAACTTGACGTCACGATGACGTCGAAGCCATCGTTCATGAGGATGACGTTACACGACATCAAGAGTTTGTTGTGATGGCGTGTCGAAGCTGATGTTGGCTAAGGCGACGACGTTATGCGACGTCAAGGCTTCGTCGTGACGTCATTGTGACATCGCGTTAGTGTCTTCGGCGCCGTCAGGACGACATTAAAGTGACGTCATAGCAAGTTTTGACGTTATGCTGGGCGTCGACATCGATGCCAACGTCGACGACCACGTCGACGTCGTCCTCCACGCGGCGAGAAGTTACAACCTCGTTACAACAGCGATTTTATGTCGCGGAACGGCGTCGTCCTCGACGCGACGTGACGTCACGATGGCTAAAGAAGACAATGACGTCACGACGAAAATTCGGGTAGACCAAGGCACTTTGATCGCAGCGCCACCACGATAACTTTCGACATTCTGAGCTTCAACTGAAAGCACGATCATAGAAAATATCTAAGGGTGCATGCGAGCTGGTGAATATTACCCATGTTGAAATAACCTGAGACTGGGGTAGAGAGGAAACATCAAAACGTAGAAGAGACAAAACCTAAACAGGACGACGTCTCAAACTTAGCCAACTCGTTTATTTAGTTCACCTCCTTATACAGTTTTAATCTCAAAGTCATCTCCACCTTGAGATTGAGATAAGGGCATGGACTACATAAACGAGTTAGCTGAGTTTGAGACGTCGTCCTGCCTATTTTCTGTCTCTTGTACATTTTAATTTTTTCTCTCTACCCCAGTCTCAGGTCCATTTAGCATGGTGAAAGAATGAGCTGGGCCTGTATCAGGGTTGGGCAGAAATACTCAAAAACGTATTCGGAAATACAAATACTGGGATACATTAAAATAGTAGCCAAAATACTGATACTGAAATATATCTGTAAAATTGTATCGCGATACGTATCGGAAATACATTATAAATAGAGGTAAAACGTATTTGGAAATACAAATACAGGAATACATTTTGTTGAGGCAGAAATACAAATACAGAAATACTGATACTGCAATACATTTTTCAAATGTGCTTGAGATGCCAACTGAGATGAAGCTTGTAGTTTGAAGTGGAAGTTTTTGATCCCGAAATTACTTTCCCGTAGGCTTGGCACTTTGCCTTGAAGGTAGTGGTTTCGGACGACGAGAAGCCTTCAATGGGCTCAAAATAACGTTCCATCAAGGACTGACCGCGGTCTCTTCCTTTAAATCCTGTCTGTCTGACGAGAGATGCGTAAAGGCTTCGACCTCTAAATAAATTTTATGTCACCCTAAACCCCATCAAAACGTCACCACGCCCCTGCCAACATTGAACACATGACGTCACGGTGTAATGAACTGGTATTCTTTATCTGTAGGTGTGGCCTTGAACATGAAACTTTACCACGCTACTGTATATGAAAGGACAAATCATACTTTCGTTGCAAGTTACCTCGTTGAAGACCGTGCAGGAAGTGCCATTTGATATTTTTGAGAATAGTGGACCACCTGAAGCATTCTGGAACACACGTCTTGTCTTCTGTTACGGTTGAAAAAACCATACTGTGGCATCCCCATTGTGAAGGTCCTCCTGCCGACCCTCCGCCACCGACCAGTCCTCCAGTTTCGCCTAGCATCATCCAAACAGGGACCTCGTGGATTGGGACCTGGTATTGCCGGTACAGGTGCGAGCTCTCCGAGAAACAGCGCGCTTGAGACGAGTCGCAGGTGTACGAAGTCTTGGTCGGAACAGCGAGGCCACGTCGGGTCTCCTTTCTGGGTTTCGGATCACCAGAGCAGTGGGTCATGTTCACGTCGACTTATGACGTACCCTTGAGCCGTGCAATATTACGGCGCAGCCGCAGATGCATTCGTATAAGTGTTGAGCTTCAGTGCGTGAGTCATCCTACTATTTTAAGTTGACAACCGCCAGGCTCGTGCTGCAACGGACTGTGACTCAGCTTTGCCGGCTGGGTGTACTGCGTACGCTGAGGCAAGAGAGACGGTTACCAGCGGGCGTTGTATGCCAGCAAACAATGACTCAAGAAATCCCTACCTAAAAACCTGTGGCAAAAGATGCTCTGACTCCACTTCTGGCACGCCACCTGGTTCGAGTCCCCCACTACGCAACACTTCTCAGAAGAGAGAAGAGCACGCATAGAAAAATAGTTTGGAGAATCGGAAGGAACATAGTCACAATGCCCCAGTATCTCCTTGACTTTCGCGCCCTCAGAAGTAAAAAAAAAAGAAACCGTTCGGAATTTTTTTTTGTCTTGAGGGGGGTGGGGGGGGGGGGGGTATTTCTCGAGAAATGTAACGAAATACATTTAATCTTGATTGTATCGCGATACAAAGAAACATCTAAAATGTATTTCGTTACAGGAATACAGATACTGGAGAAAAAAATGTATCGCGATACAGAAATACAGATACGAAATGTATTTCTGAAATACTATCGCGATACTGCCCAACCCTGGCCTGTAGCTCCCCTCACTCAGTCCACTCTAGTTCACTGTGACTCAGCGTCGACTGGTCAAGCATGGAGTCGCGGCAAAACTTTAACAGCTACTGTTATAGGGCAGCTCAACATCATCTCGAATAATCAAGGTCTGGGAACGGGCCACTCTTCCCTCGTGAAACGTCATCATTACCGGTTATCGCCAACTTAGCAATTCGACCCAATCTAGAGGTACAATCTTCTTCCACGCGTGGACTGGACACGTGTACCAGCCGATGACTGACGCAGCACTCGTTAGCCAGCAATCAGTCTTGCCGCTTGATCTCATTGTGATGATGTAAAATTTCAGTGCACGGGATTTCATTGTTCTTGGTAACGTTGAGCAGTGCCCGAGAGTTACGCGAACGCCTGATTTTTTATATCGTCCGCGACACTACATCGATCCGGAAAATTCATATAGAGTAGGATGAGAGCTAGGAGCACATGCAGTTCCTGAATCTGATATTAAAACACAATAAAGAAGGTTGTATCAGCTATTTGTATATGTTCAATGTGCAGCTCGTAATATCTGCTTTGCGCAATGTTGTTTCACCACCAGTTTGGACTACAGTACAACTGCAGTGGTTGAAAGCTCCGCTTTCAAACGCTGAAATTATTGAGACTACATCTCGTTGCCAATAAACCTATTGCTATATTACCAAATCATTAAGGAGAATGCAGGGATCGGCGTTTCACGTGCCGCACGTGCTGGTCTCAGCAGTAGTAAATTTTCTAAAGTGAAAACCTGAAACGAATTGTATCTTGCACGCGCGTTCGTCAACGCTTTTATTTGATTATTTACTTCGACCCTT